ACTACTACTACTAAACTACTACTACAAGACGTCGACTACTACCCCTCATCAGTATAGGGCGGCCACGGCCATGACGGTGACGACCGCATGGACGACGGCGACGTCGACGACGGACCCCTGACCACGGCTTCTACTTTACGACCTAAGTAGGTTCAGGCCACACCCACCGGCACCTCAACTTCTGCAAGACGACACTGCTGTTGCTCCCACGGCCTGTGAGGAGTTCAAGAAGCGCACTTTGCTGGAGACGGCTCACACCTTGCCTTTGCTCCTGGACTCCAGAGATCTCCAGAGTCCTCGTGCTAGGATTACATGCTGCCGACCGCAGACTTTCAGAATCCAACATTCCAGTCCCAGAGGTTCGGCGCCGGCTGCAAGTTCTGGAGGGCACCGGACGCCGAGCACCCGGACCTTTCGGATTGGGTTGCCGGGGCTGCATGGGCCTCTGTTGTTTCGGTTCTTCCAAAACGTCTTAGAAATGTAGAGTGTCAAGACAGTTCAGCCGACAGAAGCAGTGAGACAGCATGCCGTCGCCGTCTGGTGACCCGAAGGACACCAAAGGGCAGTACTTCCTGGCAGAGTCCGTGGAGTACCGTTTGAGACCCATCCGAGGTGGGCAGGGCCCATGCCTTCAACAGTCAATAGATGTCCTTTGCAGGATAATTGAAGCGATCTTCGGCAGCAATTCAAGCCACACTCAATTTGGACTATATACTAATTGGATACACGCACGGAGAGGACTCAAAGTAACGAGTATGTGGCAAAGGGCGGAGCCAAGGAAGCCACTCCCACAAATTGATATGTCTTGCAACAAGAGCTGCTGATCAAGGACTACCTTCTCAAGAACCATTTTGCAAGCTTTAGTAGATGCCTGTACCGTATACCTGGACACACAAGGCATACTACCACTGGTGTGGTTGGATAGTATTGGAATAGCTGACTGCTGTGAAAGTGCTCTGCATGCGCCGCTGGAAGGTGACATTCGAGGCACGCAGTATGTTTTCGGCCGACCCATACGGGATGGCATCGCACCCATTGCGAAGTCGCTCGGGCCGGGCCCTCACTTATCCTTACTTCACAGTAGGATTCTCCATTCCAAAAACCATACACACCCACCTGCGCACCTGGTTCTTCCATGCCAGACTCTCCATTTTCTTCGCAAGACGCGCGGTTGCGTCAAGGTCTTGGCGATACGAGTTCCCCGCAAATGCGCACCCTGCCGTCTACAGACCGCCGTTTCCACCGATGAAGGGCAGCAAAGAGGAGTCCGGGGACGCTGAGGCTGAATGAGTGATTCGGGTGGCTGCAGATGGTTGATGGGCTCTACCGTAGGTAGAGCCAAGAGCGGCGCGACAAGAAAATGAGCAACTGTTGTGTTTCTTGTGCAAGCAGAATGCACTCCCCCGTTGACACTTGTACTGCCGCTCGCAAAGCTAAAGCTAACTCTTCGAGTGCTTGTGAGTCGTTTACTGGGCTCAAGCGATGGCACCTGTATCAACACAAGTTGGGTATTCAGAAGAAGGAAGGCGATCTCTGCTAGGTCGTGGCACTGCTCTGTGCGCAAAAGCCTTAAAAGATCTCGCCGGTTTCGCTTACTGTACAGACCACTCAGATGCTGCTCTTGCCTGGGGAGTCCCAGACTCTGAGCCACGGCGGGCCGAAGCAGACCAGGCAGGAGGTGATCACACGTGTCCTGGCTGGAGCGTCAGATTTCAGTTCGTGCTTCCATGCGAGACGGGTCGTCTTGCTGTCTCGCGGAGCAAGTTCGGAGCCCTGTTGGCGCATGTCGAGATCAGGCAGCTATCGATATGTTGAGCCTCGGCTGGAAGTTGCTCAGCAAGAATGCAGTCACAAAAAGGAAGATACAGCTGAGGACAAGTTCGGAGCTTCTGGGCTGCAGCTCGCAGTTTTCTCAGACAAGGGCAACCTGAGTTCAGAGGAAGTCCTGAGGTCGTGAACTGTCGTGGTATAGCTGCCTGAGGGGTGTAAACCCTGTACGTACCGGTTTTCAGCTTATGGTCTGGAGGTCCGAGTGATCCTAAAGCCTCGAGGAACGTACCGCGGAGTTTCCGGTGGAGGCCAGCGAGGATGTGGCAGGTGCCGTCTCGTCGGCGTCCTCCGGGCCGCTCAGGGACTACCAGGAAGGGACGAAGCTGCTACCGTTTTATTCAGGGCTTTTTGTGGAGCTTGGTTTCAAGTCCTGGGGTTGTTGGGCGGATTGAGGAGAGAAGGCATGCAGAAATTTCATTGAGTGCGATTTGCTGACTCGTCATGGCTGTGGAAGCAGGGGTTTTTGGGTTTAGGGCTGCCCATGTTTGAGTGCTTTAGGCGGTGGGAGAGAGTTTCAGTGACGGCGAGCAGGACAAGCTGAAAGCCATCCAACTGCGGGAGAAGCTTCCTTCGCAAGTGAGCTTTTGGCCTGCTACAGGTACCTAGGCTTCCCGGGTTGCCTTTACACCACACGACCCGTGTGACCTGCCAGCTAAAGTGCAGGGAAAGACGTCGAAATGTTTACTGGGAACCTGCGATCCCAGGAAAGGCCTTTCGAAAGCGGAGATCGCTGAGAAGGTGGGCCGTTCTGAGCACTGGGTGAAGAGGCGCGGCCACGGCAAGCAGCACCAAAGCTGCGATGAAAAGAACATGTTACCTCAAGCGTCCATTAAGCTACACTGTGATGGTGTTCGATCTGTATACATGCGCATAATATAAATATGTTCACAAGTATAACTATATAAAATATATCAACATGTATGTATATTATATATATATATGCACGTATATGTCGGAGAGGGAGTCCTTTGGGGTCCATGTAGTTTGGCCACATACATATGCATCGACCAGATACATACGCAATGACGTGGAGAAGCAGTGTGTCATGCTGTCATGGGATGCGTGGCCACGCGTAGAGGAACAAAGCAAGGACTGCATTCTCCCCCGCCGACCCGCATTTATGCACGCGAAACCCCAAAAGCGGGTGAGCAGATAAAGATATAATGATATAAAGATATATGATATAATATGATACATGATATATGTGCTTTTGGTTTGCTTTCTCTTGTTTGGCTATGGTTCAGGTGGTGGCGCGAGCATCCGGCAACCTTGGAGCGACCCGTGGGCTCCCGGGATGTGGTCCTGCAGCGGGCGTCCCTGCATTCCTTCCGGGATTTGGAGATCAGGCGGGTCTCAGGCTTTGTCATCCCGCCTCTTTTCCCTGCCTCGCACCTATTACTCAAACCCCACCACCTCTTTCCTGGGGGCTGGTCTTTGGCGAGGGGCAGCACCTGAGAGTCTAGACTCTAGACGTCATTCCGATGCGGCAGGCGAAGTTTTGCCAAAGACGCAGCTACCTACGACAGCTTGGTGAAGGAGGTGAGCTGCAGCATTCTTAGAGGGCGTCAGGAACCCTGATAGGCAACTCAGAAACCCGTGATGGGTTGAGTGCGTGTCTTGAGCAAGTTTCGTGAGAAGCCCACAGAATTCAAGCACGGAAGCAAGTGCTGAGTTCGTGGAGGCACAGTAGGCAGAACCAACTAGCTGACAAGGTGAAGCACAACCTGCATGAACATCATAAAGCTAGTGCATGCCGGAGTGGTGGCGACAGGTGGGTCACGATGACTACTCTTGGCAGTTAACTGGTGGATACGGGTAGCTTTCTATTTGTCGAGACCTCCACGAGTTTCAGCTTTTCGTGACAGTCCAAGACAAAAAGCTGACTAGAAACATCCACTTCAATGAGCTTAAGGGAGCTCCAAGGCATCTCTCGGTGTAAGGTTCCGGGCGAGGATTGCACGGACTAAACCCTTAATAACCCCCCGTCCTCCAACCCGGGGTTCTAGGCCTAGCTGCTTGTTGGGGTGAGGAGCATTTGTGGTGACACTCTGTGGCTCAGTCTGGGATCAGGTGATTGAGTCATGGCCTTGGATTAGGACCTTAGGGCTAGTGCTCAAGATTGCCTGGTGTGGTTCTCCTGGACTGAGTCGTAGCTGGGCCAGTGTGGACAGCTCGTCGTGCCCTGTCCCTGCCTTGTGCGAGTGTAGCCCACTTCAAGCTTAGAGCAACTTCTTGTCTGGTGCCCGAGAAGACCCTTGGAGGTCCCTTGGCGCCAGGCCAAGGTGGTCGCCAGAGATCTGAACACAGGCTGGATGCATGTCCACGATTCGGAGGGCAGCCAAATATTGGTGATTCTTGCTTGTAAGGTTTGCCCGAAGGTTTCGAGCACTGCCTCTGCAGCAACCGTAGACTTTCTCACCTGGCCATATTGAACAACCCTACACTGCCATGCACCCTCAATTGGATGATGACGGTTTCGGCAGGAGAGCTTGGACTCCGCTACAACGAGAAGGGGGAAAGCTTGAATGCAGGTCCAGCCGAGACGAGGGTTGTGCATTCTCGGGGTTAGAAACAGGGAGCAGACCGTCAGATTTGAATACATCTTCCATGACCCTTCAGTTCTTGAGGCTATGCGGTCAAGGTTAGTCCGACAATCTTCCAAAGATCCAAGACCCTGATCGAGCCTGTTTCCGCACTAAGGTCGCCAGGTGGCCGACTATTCGGGTGGCCTTGACTTCCTGGACAAGCTGCTTCAACGGGTGCCCCCCAGCTCAGTAAGCTGATCCTTGCCGAATCCCCATCACATTGCAACGAGCTCCGAACGCCATAGAACTTCGCAAGCCTTGGAGGATTTTTTATTTTGAATTGCATAGGTCATGCGTAGATGAAGCCTGATGTGGTATGATTAAGGTTTTCCGAGATGAACATTCGAGATCCGCAAGCCCGGATCTTCATGAACTTCTACGTGGACGGAAAGGACAAGGCTCGCTGGTAGTTGGGCAGTGGGCAGTCTCATCCTTTTTGACACTTCTAAAACGACTGTTGCTAAAGATGCTCGAAGATGGCTCCTTCGCTCACAAGCACTGCACACACTCATGCATGATAAGTTGCTCAGGCGAGTGTTGCTGACCTTTCACTGTGAGTTCTGAGGAGAGGGGAGGGAGAGGGAGAGAGGGAGAGGGGGAGCGCGCGCACGGAGCATGGGGTCGGACCGCCCTGTGCTCCCCACCTGGTATATAGAGAGAGAGAGAGAGAGAGAGAGAGAGTGACGGCCCTAAGCCCTCGAGAAGAAGCCAACGTGACGGTTACAGCCGGCGAAGATCTTATGTTGTCATAGGGTGCAGGGACGTGGCTGCAATTTCGTTTTGGACTGCATGCTCTTTGCCGTTCAGAAGACCACGATGGAGCCTTCTCCAGGACCCCAGACCTCCTCTCCGGTGCATGGAGGGAGTCAGAGGAAGGGAGAGAGGAAGGAAGGAAGGGAGGGAGAGCGACTCCAGATTGTTACCCTTAATAAACCCACTGCCAGGAGGGGCTTACGTTTTCACTCGCCGAATGATGTCCACCCACACGAGCAGGGCTCGGGGTGCTGCGTCTAGCAGGGTCCAGGAACCCGTCTTTGAACGGGGGAAGGGCCCCCAAACGATGACCATACAGGGCAAAAGCGGTTAGAGGCAGAGTAGCAAATCGGGCAGGGGGTAAAGATATCAGAACAGAAGTTGAAAGTGGTCTGGCATAGCCCCGGCAGTGTAGTTTGAACTGCCCATGTTCCGACATCCACTGGCCCTTCGATCTTGATCTGCCAGGTTTCTCAGCATCGCCACGACTTCTGGACCTGCCTGCGTCCTGGCATGTCTAGTCTGTGCACGGGGCGAGGTGCTTGGTTGGATGCGGCCTTTGTGTCAGAGCTGCTGGGGCTTCTGTTCTCAAGCAACCCTCAACATGTATTCAGATCGTCGGTATGAGTACGATCAAGGTTGTCCTTTGGCTCGCCACGGATTCTCACAGTGGACGGCCGGCCCATCCTTATGCGGGATGGGGACCTGATCGTGTTTGGCACACAAAACCATGGGGTCCCTGTCATGCCCAGACCTCAGACACCAGCGGGTGTCCATTGCAGACTCGTGCCAAGCCGCTGCCGCGTCAAGGCCAGACATTACGGGGGGCCGCGTGTCCTTGGTGATCTTCTTCTACCCAGATGCGGATAACTTGGAGCGCCAGTGGCAGACGATTACCGAAGAAGACGACGAGGGCAAGTCCACCGTGACCGATGCTTCAGCCCTACCTTGTCTTCCCTCGATGCCAATGTTGATCGTAGCAGTAGCAGTTTGCAGCATTAAAGCCTTACGGAAGTGCCGCAAGCTCGCTTCGGAGAGCTTTCAAAACTGTCTTGAATGTGAGCGTAGATGCCCAAAGAGTGGAAAGAGCACCACGACAAACTCTGACGCCCACGACCACGTACGACACTTTCGCACGAGCCTTCGTTTCCGGGGTTGTGTCTTTGTCGCCTGGAAGCTATGCAAAGAAGGGTTGCGTGAGGCCCGAAATATCAGTGTTGGTATCGACAAGCACTTCAATCCCACCTTGCTCTGGGGCGGCGGAAAGACAGAGAAGACCCTCGGGCAGCATTGGTTAAAGAACTGAGCAGGACTTCAAATCGGCTTGATGCCAAGAAGACATAGCAACAGTAGCAGCAGCAGCTGTAGCAGTCATCGTACTGGTAACAAGACTAATAATCAAGGAAACAATCCTGAGGAGAACCAAGTGAATCGCAATCACATTGTGGTAGTAACAGTATGATGCTGTTGTGATCTTCTCCGTAAGCCAAGGCCCGCCGCAGATGGCTGCGAGCATTGTCCGGCCGAGTCGGCTTTGCAGCAGGCCCTGGACCCCACGGCCACGAAGAGGCCCAGGGAGATGGCACTCCACCGCTGCCATGACCAAAGATAAAAGAGAGAGAGGAGGGGATTACTCACGGCGTCGGTCTGTTTATGTAGGGAATGTAGGGGTGTTTGTTCGGAGGCGGATTGGGCTTCAAAAACTTTCCCAAACTCTTTGAAAATATTTGTCACAACTTATTCGCAACACGTGTCTGTTTACTGTTTACTCACTGATTTCGATTTGGAAGTTGATTGAGCTTGAAACTATGTCCAAAGCGATTCCTAGATTTCTATCCGAACCCCATCCTTTGCACCTTACTTACCACCACAGCCACCACAAGCACCAGACAAAAACTGCTTAAAAGCAAGAACAGCCCCACCCCACCCCACTCCTCGCAGCAACACCTTACTTGCAGCACCGACCCCCTCCCTGACACCCAATTTTGCGCTGCAAAACCGGCTTTTCGGAGCGTGTACGGCGCAGTGAACCGGTTCTTGCGAAAACCGGTTCGTGATGGTAAAGGAATAGCAGCAGAATAGCAAGCATGAGGCCATGAGCCGCTCCTCAAGTCTCATCAGACAGACTCGGGAGCGTGGTTGCAAACGCTGTTTGCAACCACTCTCCGCCTATTTTCCATCATGGAGTGGCTCTTTGTTTGTCCGCTTGGAGCATTTTGGACTGAGTTTAGACGGCCAGAGAGCCGTTTTGTGATGGAAAGTAGCCGGAGAGTGGCTGCAAACAGCGTTTGCAACCACGCTGCCGAGTCTGGCTGATAATATTTCCGGAGTGGTTCATGGCTGTCGTGCTTGCTATTCCTTTACAATCATAAACCGCAAAAAAAAAAGGTTCACTGCGGCCCTTCAAACCCGGAAGTGCCTGAGGCGTGCTTCGTCATCTCATGTCCGCGCTGCTGACTCAACAGGTGTTAGAGTGTTGTTGAGGTTTTCCACTGCCGCCGCCCGCCCCGCCCAAGCCCCAGCCGAGTTCACCGCCAAACCCCCACCGACCTTCCAGTGCCTTGGCATGCCTGTACAACATGCGCTACCCAAGGTGCACAGTTTCGAACAGTTTGGAATAGTTTCTGAGCAAAGTTGCCCCGCAACAGGGAAACAGGCCCACACCACAAGTAAGGGGAGATGGCATAGACACAAAGACGAAAAAGGATGGAAAGGAGAAACAGTTCGAAACAAGCGCTGCAACGAGCGGGAAAGAAAAGTTCGTCCGTGTCTTTGTGAAGCCGCAGTAAGTAGCAGCTCGGAACTGTGCACGTACTTGTAGCAACTTTCCATCCTCAGCCGTCCTCAGGGAGTTGCTCAAGAGCCCGAATTCCAACATGCAGTTCGACGGTGCCCCTGCTGCTTTTGCCGTCGTTGGCAAGTCTGTGAGTGTTTGAGCGCAAGGTTCGTGGCTGAGTCGAAGGTACGCAATCGAAGCCAGCTGCTGCTGAAATCATTATCTATTCCATCGCGACCGGCGGCCAGGCGGCTCCGGGGGAGTGCGCTGCGAGGGGGGCCTCTGGCCGTCGGCGGATTTCTGTGTCAACATTGAGCTCTTTGTCTCGGGGGGCTTCTTCTGCATGCTGGGCCTGAAGAGGTCGGCTACGGAAGCGAGGAGCGCAGAGTGGAGGAGAAAGACTTCTTCAAGTGGTGGCCTCCTCAGTCTCGTTCCCTTCAGAGCTTAGGTTCGCATACCGTCAAGCCGCAGACAGCCCGTGCCAATCCCAAGCTAACCCTGAACGCCTATGTGCAAAACAACAATCTTACATCCCGAAGACACCCCCTAATGCTGATGTGTTGACTCCTCTTTCAAATCTTAACGGCTCGGAAGCTACCGAGGCTCCAGGGCCACGACGTGACGGCCTTGTGGGACCTCCGGTTCCCGCCACCTCGCGCGGGGGACTGGTCGGAGCCCACGGCCTTGAGACTCCGCCGCATGGAAGAGAGGGAGTTTGTCGTGGGGGTGCTAGAAGGATTAATGTAAGGTAAGGGCTACTTCGTGAGGGCTACAAGGTTACGTTCAGCCAATTGCAGTCACCGGGGTTTTATGAGAGTGATCAAGCGCATCACAATGATTGCAGTCGAAGGCGATTCTATGAGGCTCATACCTTTAGGTCCGGTAGGGAGCTTCTTGGTGAGGGATTTCTTGGGCTCAAGGACCAGGGATTTGGAGTAGTAGCGCTTGGGCTTTGAGGTCTAAACCTCACGGCTTGGGTAGGAACTCTTCCGGGTTTGGGATTTCAGCGGCTTGCGCGAAGGGTTTGGAGTGACTGGTAGGGACTGAGCCTGTTCAGTGCTTGTAAAGAATCTGAAATCTTGGATCGCCTTGGCGTCCGCTTCTTGTCTCAAGCGGCTAGACATGTAGTGGAGTGGCTCGCTCAGGGGGAACTCTGCGGTTGATCGCAACTATGCAACCAGAGACACATCTTATAAAAGTCTCTTGCATAGTGTGCACGCCGACATAATCACCAGGTTTATCCAAGATATCGTCTGTCTCGATTGAGCCGGTTTTCGGGCTTGAAGCACAAGTAACACGCTCGCCAATAGCTCAGTGCGGGAGTTTTTGGGGAGACTGTCATGCAGAACGAAGGAAGCGGGCCTGCGCGGCGCGGTCCATGGGCTACCGCAACCTGATTGCAGCGGAGAGAGTAGGCTTAGGAGTGAAGCCGAAAACAGTCGACTTCAGTACGTCGATTCACAAGAGCCCGAGCACCTTCAGTGTTGCTACAGGCACTTACCCTCTCGGTCGACGTGAAGCCGGAGGCGAGACCCGGAAGTGCACGCAGATGCTTGTCCTCCAAAACATCCTGCAGATGGCAGTCTCAGCGAAGGGACATAGCATACAACTAAGCTTTGATTCTCTGGTAGCTGTCGTGGCATAGGACTCTTTGTTGTCCAGTCTGTTGCGGCAGGCCTTAAAGGGCATGTTGCCGCAGAGGAAGGCCGCGACGTGCTGGGAAGACTGGTGGAGGCTGACAGACCTATTCAGATGCACGTGTAGGGAAAATGCGCGCTTCGCCCATATGCTTCGGTGACAAGCATCCGACAGCTACTCTAGCCGCGAGAAGAGACACTTGTTTGAGTGTACCTGATTGAGTCTCAGAGGATATTCCTTGCATCGCATTTTGATGCATTAATTGGAGGTGGCGCAGACGGCGGGTCGTGTTGCCTTCGTCGTGGCGCAGACGGCGCCTTCCACCGGCTCTGCAAGATGGGAGGCAATGGGAGGAGTGGAGACGTCGCAGTCGCACCTTGAGGCCTCCGCTTGGAGCGCATTTCTGTCTCGCAGGTGGCCAACGCTCTTATGGCAACGCCAGGGATCCGGGTGCTGCACGTCCTTCCTGGCAGCCAGCTTTGCGAGCACGTGTACGAAGTACCGGAAGGAGGGGCCCCGACGAAGCCCCAGGCAAGGCAGTGCAACATCCGTGCTGGTTTTTTTCCGCGGATGCCATCGAGAAAACTTTCAACATCCAAAAACACTGAAACCCTCTGTCAAGATTCGCCGTTGATGTGAGGCTGCGGCGCCTCCGGCAGCAAAGGCCTCCGAAGTGGCCTCTCGGCTGAAGTACGGGGAGCTGCTCCTGCCCTGTCTGGAAATCCAGGGTGACTTCTCTCGATGTTGCGAAGGGATGTTGATTGGCTGATTATCACCCTTGTCACTGCAAATCCACGGTCCGCTTCTCCAAGGCGCCTGAAACTGCCCAGAAGGATGCGGCCGATTCGGGCGAAACAGCTGCTTGATGCGCACCTTTCGGGTGAGCCTATCTTGGAAGCAACGGGACACCCAAGCACCCCGAGGCAGCTCCGGCGATCCGCAAAAACCGCTGGGGCCGCAAGGCCGGCTGACACCAAGGACCAGGGTATACATCACTGTATGTATTTGCCATCAAAGTGTCAAGAATGTGTTTGTTTGTGTCTCTTTTGCATCTAAGATGTCTCTTTCGGTAGTAAGTGCGTGAGTGATCTCACGTAACAGCAGCGGCTTTCTAAGCGTCCCTGTCTCCTCTTGAGGACGTGACCTGTGCAAGTAGCGGATCGGACAGACCTGGGCGAGTTCACGGTGCAGGTGGCCACCGAGGCCTCGAAGCCTTCAGAGCAGGAGCTGCTGCGGCGGAGTTTCCGCGATCCGCATGGAACGGCCCGGAACGGCAGCCTGTTCTGCGAGATCGGACTGCCCACTGAGACCTGACGATGGACACTGAAGGGACCTGCAAGCCCAAGCAGAAGTACCGACTGTACAGCATATACAGCCCTTCGTGCGGTTCCCGACGCGCTGTGCTGCCTGGAGATGTGCAGCACGGAGGAGTCGACGGAGCGAAGACAGTGAAGTGGCCGGAAAAGAGTTAATACACGACTGCTGTTGCGATCCCCCTCCCAACAACCAGGTGCGCCCTGGTCCTCTACCCCCAATCCCCCGACGGAAGCATTAGTCCTGCGGCCGCTCAGGTCCAAGCTGGCCAGACTCGAGCCACACCAACAACCGGAGAGCTTGCAGGCGACGCCGCTGCTGGGTTCTTGAGATGCTTTGAACAGAATCGATGAGCGCTTCTTTCATGCATGGATACCGGGGCCTCGTAACACGAGGCAACAGTTTCAGGAACTATGATAGCAAGACAACAACGCAAGCAACAGAAGCAGCAACAGTAACAGTAACAGCAATAACGAGAGCACCAACAGCACCACCACCTACCACCACCACCACCACCACCACCAATAATGCCACCAACACCAACAACCACCAACCACCGCTGCAGTACCGCCGCCGCCACCACCACCACAACAAAAACCACAACAGCCACGACAATCATAATATCCACAGCAGCTACGCCGCGACCATTAACACACCCGATCACCACGACCACGAGCCCACAACCACGAGCCACACCCCAATCCCGACAGCAACGGTCAACGGCAAATACAGAAACAAAAAGAATAAGTTAAGTGGTGTGCCAGGTCCTGACAAAGCCGTACCTGCGTGCTGCTGAGTCGCAGCTGGCGAAAGCCCCGGGCGCCATCGGCATGGAGGTCCCCCTGCGACAACTCGTAGCTGCAAACACTTGTAACTATGTAACCTGACCTAGACCTCTTCGCCTAAACCACAGAGGCGCAGGTGTCAACTTTCGGATTCCCCTTGTTTGCAGGAAGCCGTCCATACGCTGGCGTTGGCGAGGCTGTTGCATGGGCGCCGTCGATACTGCTCTTGTTGATTGATCTGGAACAGAATCCGCCTGTGCAAGCACTGCTGAAACAACCCAGTCAATCGTGGCTGCGGCGTTGCCCGCAGCTAGGCGCCTGGCAGATGTACGGACACAGCTTCTGTCAGAATTGCAACAGCCAGCATCCCAGGGCTGCGTGCATAGCCACCATGCAAGCATCAATGGCAACGGTGTGCCATGCAGCTGAGTTGAGCTTGAATGTGTTGCGCTGCCAAGGTTAGGAAAGCAGCCAAGGCTAGAGATTTCCATCTGACCATGGGAGACGAGAGTCCACAGTTGGCCGGGCATGTCAGCTCAATCCAAACTCGGACCCTGAACAGCAATGCAGAAATCGCCGCCTGTCCAACGCGACAGGTTTTCCAACGGTTTCATGCCAGCCCCTGCAGCTGCAAGTGTTGAGAGCACCTTGCTGCTGAGGCAAACGCATCGCCTGCAGGCAATGAGCTGCAAGTTATAGTAGGTCGCATGTGCGCATGAATGTTGGTCGAGAGCTGAATATAGGGGTTCGATTGTGAGAGAGTTTTGGGCTGAGCCTGAACAAAATTATAGGCATCAAAAATCGCTTAAATATAGGTCGACTTCCTTCACACTATATAGCTGTCAATCTATTTGTCTACGCATCCATCTGTCTATCCGAGTCCGTCCGTCCGTCCATCCATCCATCCATCCATCCATCCATCCAAGCATCCGTCCAGCCAGCCATCTAGCCGGCCATCCATTTGAAGACCTACCGGTCTTTCAATCTATGACCTATCTATCTATCCATTCATCCACCTACCTAGCGACATGTAGTTGGACAAACAGTACACACGGCACATGCAGATATAGACATGGACATGTACATAGACACATCAATATAAATCTGCATACATGTACATACATATACATGCATATGCAGGCATACACGCACACATACGTATGCACGCACATACCACACCACACATACATACATACATACATACATACATACATACATGTACATACATACATACATACATGCACACGTGTGCGAATGAACCATTTCCAGAACAAGGAAAATTGGTCATCGCTCATCTGAAGTACATGCATACGTATGTACTTATGTACTTAGAATTGTACATATGTACTTACATACGTACATACATGTACATATACATGCAGACACAGACAGACAACCGGGCCGAGATACATAGACGCGTGCATGAATTGACTTCGTTGTGCTCGCACTGTTTACATGTGTGTACGCATGTGTCTCAGTGTAAGGCATGCACTGCGTGGTGCGGGGACGGACGTTTCAGATAAGACCCTACTGTATCCGTCCGAATGCAGGTGGTAAGCAACGAGAAGACCCAGCTTTCTGGCGAGCTGAGCACGATCCAGGATTGCCACGAAAAGAAGCCTTTGTTCAGGGCTAGGAATTCAACGAGTGTTAGCTCAGCGGTTGGGCTGGCAGGTTTCCATGTTGAGACCGCACCCGGAGGACAACCACGCCCTTCTCCAGTCCAACTACGATGCGTTGAGGAAGGCCAGAAGTTAGCCGGTGGGGAAGGCCCAAAGTACCAAGAAATTAGTTGAGGAACGCGCAGCAGGCTGGATGTAAGTTCAGTAGGCCAGATCGAGTTTTCGGTTCCCACCCTTTCGGCAATTTGCTGTTCTCAGCCCTGCAAACCCTGAGCCCAAACAAGGCATCAGCGCCAGTTGAGAGCGCCACCGCCCGGCAGGCCTTGGTGTAAAAGCAGATAGGGTGGATGCAGGCAAGGAGTAGGAAGTACAGCCAACCTTCGGCCTAGGTTCCCGAAGCTCATGCAAGCGCCATCAAAGCCTTCACCTCGGACAGTGAATTTCGAAACTTCCACCTAGGTGTGTATATACATATACATATATACCTGCAGACACCAGATATAGGATAATGCCACGTCACTTCAGCAAGATACAATCTAACCTCAGTAACGTAATATGATATAGAATAAGATAAGGTAAAGTCAAGCAGTGTAAGATAGCGCAATAGCAGAACCAGTAGCATAGACCACATGTCATGTCGTATTGTAATGTGATGTAGCCATGGAGATGCCATGGAGTAGCATTTCTATAAGTATCATATATACTCATATAAGTATGTATGATAACCATGTATATGTGTATATACAGATGTTAACATCCACACTTACACAGCAACTAAGAGCACTTGCCACAATTTTTTGTTGGCGGAAGGAGACTCCTGGCGACTCCGGGGAGATGCTTCTGACCTCCAGGCCTTGGGTCCTCCTTTGGAGCGAAATTCTCCGTCTTTTTTTGAAAAGAGTGCAGATCGTCAGCCGCGGTCATTGCAAATAGGTAAGGCTACATATATGGGCAGTATCGTACTTTATGTAAATAATGCGGATGAACGGATGGATGGACGTTAGGATGCTGAGACATAAAACCTCGGGCCCAAGCCTCAGTAGCAGAAACTAGCCGTTTTCGAGCCACACGCTCAAGGAGCGAGAAGCGGCAAGCAAACGCATCGAACCCCAATGTCCCATGTCAAATTCCTCTGTTCACACTTGAAAGTTGCAACTTCGTGTACTGCAGCTATGACTACACAACGGTTGCGAGGCAGCGTGCTCTGCTCGGAAGCATGGCGGTGAGCGCCCAGGCAGAGTTCGGGGTTTTGGCAGGAAGCACAACAGCCCTCAGAAATTACTTAAGTAGGAGACCCAGGATATCCCACGTTGCAAAGTACTGTGCCGGGGCTCTCCACTCGTCGGCATGTAGGCTGTAGTCTGATGGATCAAGGAGGGCTTTGTGGGTAGGGCTTCGGGTGTCAGGGTCTAGGGCTGGGGTCTGGGTATATGGGAAGAGAGCACGTAGGCTTAGAGGCTTAGAGTGCTTAGACAGAACGACGCCTGCAAGATCGCATTAGACCTGAATTTACTGCGATCCTTGTGATGTGAGACCGGAAGGATCTGAGGGCGCTGGGTTTTGCTATGAAATTCCTCTTTATTCCTGGTCCTGCGACCATCAACTGATCTTATGCCACTGCCACCACCACCACCACCACCACCTCCTCCTCCTGCTCCTCCTCCTCCTCCTCCTACTACTACTACTACTACTACTGCGGCTGCTTACTACTACGACGACGACGACCACCACCACCACCACCACCACCAGCACCACTACCACCACGACGACTACTGCTACGACTACGACTACGACTGCTATTACTACTTGTACTACTGCTACTACTACTGCTACTGCTACCACCGTACGACTAAGCCCTCAACCCACCGTAGACCCTAAACACCAGAACCCACCAGAAAGTAAACATACAAAGCAAAATCAATCACCCCAACCTAATTCCGTCGCCTTTGTCGCGCTCTCCGACCAAGAGCATCGGTAGCTAGTTGCATTGCTCGATGGCTGTTGACCTTTATGTTCCGTGTTCTGCAGCCTAGAGGCGTGGCAGCATAGCCTGATTCACTCATCTATCATTTGTTCGGTTGTCCCTGTACCTACTTCATGACAAGGCACTCAAACGAACTCGTTCGGGTAAAAATGCAGTCTTGATGCTCAGAGTCATGGTAGCTAGCAGCTGCCCTGCCTCATGTAACCTTGGGCCGAATCAAACAGATCCTTCTTTCGGGGCAGGAAAGCTCCGGCATGCGGCAGCATGGGTTTTTCGCTTGGAGCCTCGGTGACTTCGGGTTGACGATTGCCAGGAATGGCTGGGAATGCGCGATGCCTTCTGAGGAATAATGGTTTTATGAGCGATGAAGAAAGCGCACATGATGTTTAGTTTTCATGTTTCCTTCGATCCTGTTCACGCCGCTAGCTTTCTCGCTGCGATATGAAGGTTTCAATTTCTGAAATGTTCATGAGGTGAGTCGTCTTGTAGCCCGTAATTAACAAAGTAAGACATGGGAAGTTTGCCTAACTGGGCCTAACTTACTCCTACACGATGAAGGCAATAGAACGACATCCCAGCATGTGAGCAGCAAAAATCAGGAGAGAAGCCGCTGCGTTTAAGACTAGGTCACTGGGTGTGATAAAGTGGGCTGGAGGAGGAAATTGCAGTACGGAACGCCCGACCCGACAACCATCACTCGGCTGAACGTCGAAGCAAGCTTAGTTCAAGAAAGGCTTCAGGGTGCAAGGGCTGCAGTGCATGAGGCGAAGTCCTGAGCCTGTAACGGATGTGGCTGTGCTGCCAGAAGATAGTGTGGTTTTGTATGCGTGTACGGGTGATGGTGTGGTGTATGCATGTCAGGATAATGGTTGCCCCTTTGGCAGGTCAAGGTAGCACATGCCGGCATCTTTGCAGTCTGCTACGCGATCCGGGAGTACGGGGGGCATAGATTGTGGTAGGTGGTCGAATCCCTTTTAGCAGCAAGTACTCCCGGGTACACGCCTCAACCAGCATGGTATTCCCGACCTGAAGCGGAAAGGAAAAGAGGTGATAAAAAAAAAGAAAGGCTTCAGGGGCTGATTGGAGCTCCTCCGAGAAACCGCTTTGCCCATTGAAGCCTAAGTGAAGCAGCAAGGTGGACGTCGTCAGTCTCGCCCACGGAGAGGTGTCTCTGGCATCCGGGCCGCCCCGCCCCGAGGCAACCGGAGACCAAGGACGTTTCCCCTCCGGCTTTAATCTCGCAGTGCCTTAAAGCCGGTATACTGCCAAGTGAGACTTGGTGCTTTTATGTCGATCGTGCGGAATAGGTAATCGGATCATATGCGCGGTCCCCTTAGGCTTGAGGAGACCCTCGTCTCAAGGGTTTCGGGGCGATGCCGCAGGCGCTGGAATCCTGGGAGCTCGCGATTCGCAAGGTCCATGCCTCCATGTTGCAGAGTGAGGGAGTTGGAGGATGTTGGAGGCTTTCTGGGCATCTGGACTTTTTTCTTATTGATTACACTAAACTCACTAAACTCTGAGGCAGGCTTCGGCTGCGAATCTTGTGCTGCATGTCACCAGGTCTACGAGCAACATATGTACAAGCTCGAGAAGCAGGCCAAGTGATGTTAGTGTCTTTGCATCATGGCTCGGTCTTGTTTCTTTCTGACAGCCGTCTGTTACAGTCGCATGATGCCTGCACAAGCTGCCACAGGGCAACAGCTCCCCAAGGCAAAGCGTCACCAGCAAAAACCTTCTGGCTGCAGTTTACTCCTGCTTTCACACTTCGACGTTTTCTTCAGGTGGTTGCAGCGGACAACAAAGCTTTGGAGACCGGGTTGCACGTGTGAGGGCCCTGCACGGCTGGAACAATCCCTCAATTTATGCAGCGGGAGTTGTCGTTTCAAGTGCTATCACACACCAGAACAAGTTCATAATTTGATGACGGCGCCTCGTGCGTTTGTGCCAGTGAGAGCCAAGATGAGCCAAGAGTGTAATGGCTCAGCAGTTAAAGTCGTTGGAAGTCACCCATACAGGCCTGAGTAAGGCCCCCGTATTTACGATTAATTGTTGTTGGATTCCCAGATGATGAAACACCTGTTTCATTGCAGGAGCTCAGGATAAAGGTTTGCCGTAAAAAGCTCCAAGTGTGGCCTTCATGGTTTTGAAACTTGCTGTGAAGATCCGGAAGATTCGTTCCCCTCTGGCCGAGGCATGACTACTGCGGTCAGATCCAACGTCAAGAAGAGGCTGCGAGGGGACTTTCCACGAATTTCAGGGACGTGCAATGCAACCCCAAGACCAAAGCTGCCGTCCCCCTGATGCTTGCAAGCTCAGCCGCCTTCACCAGGGCAGAAAAGTTCAAACCAGACCAGCATTGCAGGAGAAGAACGAGCTTGCGAGTCAGGCAGCGGCATGTCCGAGCTGTGCGTGCAATAATGCAGCCAAGCCCCACAAGAGTTCCCAGTACGGAGGAGGTTTGTTGGGAACTGCAGAGGTCGAAGCAGGGGAGAAGCAGCTCCAGAGCCTGCGCGAGGACGCGATTCCCACTGAAGCATTCGGTTCGATTTAGGACAACTGCCCGTTGCAGACTGATCACCGGCCCATGGATCATCATCTTTTCTACTGTTGGGGATTGTTGCGTTACGGTGCTGATGTAAGTAAACATAGGACAGACATAGGCGTCATCATATCACGGGCATCGGCAGACACTGCCAACACCATCCCCCTCTACTTTAGGACATGGAAGCCACCCGCAAGAACTACGATGGTCAGCTGGCACCTCCGCCTAGTTGTAACTGAAACTCTCGAAGTCTACGCTTCGTTTCGAGAGGCCTTGCAAGTGTAGTCATCATCTTAGATTTCGGAAATGAGTGTGTACATAGCAGAGCTGAGTCGCTGAAGCCACATGTCCAAGATCCTGCAAGTCGAACTACTGCATGAGGATGTTGCACTGGGGCTTCTTGCAACTTTGCCTTTGGAGCCAGGGCATGCTGACGGAACACATCTGCGACGGGGGCCTAATCCGATGCCGCACAATCAACGCCCTAGCGGATAACTGATGATAACTGCCTATCATGTGACAAGCCGTCATCCCACGGTTTGGGCCAAGCATGTCAGGCCTCGTAAGGTGTCCTATTGATTGCCAATGAACTGAGACGCTGTCCCTCCACCTCTCGGAGAAAGATGCGAGCCTCGCGACCTTGCAGGCGCCTCTATTCGTGTTGTGTCGGATTGTTGCTGGGCGTCTTTTCTTCGGATTCTGCTGCGCCACTTGCATCCCATCTTGACATCTGTACGTTCCAGAACAGTTCGGACCAGCGACGCATTGCGTCAGGCGCACAAAGTTCTTTGCGGGCGCTGCGGCATGTGGAATACCATGGGGTTCACGACTCAGCTCTGTGCCCATGGACGACTTGACGAGTCGAGATTCTGCAGGCCCTGTGGGACATCCAACAGTGCGGCTGCCCGTTCTGCAAACTTCACGAGCAAGCTGCAATATCTCGCCCAGCATGACTCCAACTAGCTAACAGCCCTGTGCTATGACGGAAACGGACCTGCTCCGAACTCCAACAGAACCATGCCAAAGTCCCAAGAAGGTACCACATTGCACATAGCTGAAGTGACGCTGCCATGGCACGAAGTCGCCGCGGCATACTACTGCAGACAGCGCTGTGCCTGACTGCCTGGGAATGCTTGCGCACGGCGTTCATCAGGCCCCGTGGTTCGCAGATCGTTTGGTGGCCCGGAGAATATACTGTTGAGCGATACGCCGACCACGATGCAGACTACGCCATCTAAGTTCACACGCCCCCGCCCCCCCTAATTGTTAACGGACCAACAGGTTGCCGGGACCCCGGCGCTCAGCACTCACAGCTTCACACGCTGCCGTGCGGACCATGCCGACGCTCGGAGGAACCCTTCATCTCCATGTTCGAGTTTGGGACATTCTGGGATCTCGTCCAAGCACATACTTTCGTGCTGCACACCTTATCGACCGAGTCGCGTTCGGAGTATATGTGTGTACATAGATATATATATATATAATAGTTCTATGTATGCGTGTATATATATATATTATACACATGACACACACATATATATATATATACGTAGAGAGTTCTTGACTTGATGGATTGTCACTCATAACGCAATGATGCAGTTCATGTAGCTTTAATATTTGAGTACGAGGAAGTCTTTTTTCGACGCGGACAACGTGACCAAGCGAGACATGGTTGGCTTATCAGAGTCGGCGCGTCGAGCGGTTCAAGCTACCGAAGTGGAGCAAGCTTCGAAGTTGGAGATGTCAGACATCTACTGTGCGCCCTCCACAGTCCATGGCTGGGGTGTTTTTGCAGGGCGTGACTTCCGCAGAGGCGAGATTCTGCACGAGTCACCGGGGCGGTTGATTGAGGGGCTACCCGAGTGCATTACGGACGACGTCTTCGCAACCACGCAAGTCCTTTGGGAGAGCGAGGCAGGATATTCGCACTTCATGCTGAGCTACACACCCGAAACACTTAGGATGCCGAGCAGCGAACCGAATAGAAAACACCAACAATGTCGACAGATGTCTGTAGAGCTCGTCTTCCATCGTCTTCCTGAGAGAACAACACCCTGTACGGATGATTCTCTACGTCCTCCACACACGGTTCCCTAATAAGGGGAGTTGAGTACGGGTGTCGACCCCTGGTGTCAACGGACTGAGAAGAACCATATTCATGATCACTATCTCTTCTGTGTCTTTAAAGTGTGCTGGCGATAAACGATGTTGCAACTAAAATTGTGTGTTCGGCACCTGAAGTCTTGCGACCTGCGCCGATCAGAGACCAGGCAAAGAACTACTCGGTCTTGGGCCTGGGCTTCGCGTCGTTGCACAACCATGCAGAGGCACGGGTCTGGGCTCTCAGCCCTGCCGGGTCCGGGCATTCTTCGGGCCCCTTTGAAGATGGCTTTTTTGCTGGTCCTGTCAGGATCCAAACACCGAGTTTTCATGGGAACAGCGCCGAGAGCACGGTCGCAGACTCGTCGGCCGCTTCTACACCCTCAGGCCCTTCCCATCAGATCCAGGGTCCGTGATTGTGAAAGTTTGTGAAAACTGCGACTGGAGATGTTAGTGAGAGGCCCGTCAACAAGGACGAGGAGCTTTTCATCTCCTACGGGCCAAAGTGGTTCGAGTCGAGGAGTCTTGTGCTTGAGCTGACTTTGTGCATGGGCGGCTTATGGCTGCAGTGCTACAAGTACTTGTAGCACAGAAGATGACGTAGTCCCTGGATTCTCCGTTGAGCGGCCTCGTCCTGGCAGGAACATCTCGGCGATCCCCGTCCCAAAAGCTACGTGAACAGCCGGCAGTCGCTGACTCCAACCACTACTTTCGGTCTCACATCTACAGCAAAGCATGCCAATACTATCATCAGATGGCTTTGTTGGACCAGACGGCTCTGTTGGACAAGACAGTGCTTTATTAACTTAGGTTCAAAAGCTGCTGAGGATGTGTGGTCGGGAGTATGTGTGGCTGACATAGCGCCGGAGAAAGGTAAGCTTGCTGCTGGTTGTGCCTCAACCCGATAGTTACGTTCCCGTATGGAGATCGTAGATTAATTGGGATCAGCACCATAAAGCCAGGTTCGCTGGTCAGTAAACGACAAGGTGCTGCAAGACAGTCCAGCCGTCGTACATGTATGGTACGTGCTACATGCGACTGGCTTTGATCGGAGTTCTCTTTCATGCTAATGTGACTTGCCACAGTGGGATTTGGAACCATTCGTGTCTCTGTCACTTTAGCCCTGCGCCGACCCTCGGCTTGGCCGAGGAAGCTGCTCTCAGATTCCGGCAAGGGGACGTGAGCCCGACGCGACTTTCTGGGATCCGGGGTCTGTGGAAGACGGTGTGTTTGGAAGATGGAGAGCTTGGGATGTCTAGAAGATTACATTGTTTGGATGGGCTGCAGCGGCACTAACATCACCAGTGGTATGGTAATGGAAGTAGCAGTGAGCCTGATGAGCATGCATGAAGGTGTGTCAACTGTAGTCGCCATCGTGACTGTTTTCCTCGTCGTTCTCCTCGCAGTAGCAGCGGCAGCAGGAGTAGCGCAGGAGTAGGAGTAGGACTGCTATTACTGCGTAGTAGTAGAACTAGCGGCGGCAGCAGCAGCAGCAGCAGTAGCAGTAGCAGTAGCAGTCGCAGTAGCAGTAGCAGTAGCAAAAGGCGGTAGCAGTAGCAGCAGTAGCAG